TTTGAACACTCAGCTATGTTGTGCAATACTCTCTTTAATGAAATAAAAATTATACGAACACTCCCAACCAGTTTTTGCTGTTGCCGTCATGTCCCGTATAAATTACAAATTGATTACATACTCCCACACAGCGTATGTTCTGTCCACGAGTAAAAGTGCGGGAGTGCGGGCGACGAACACGGCTGAAACAGAGGTTAAACGATGCAGCCACCAACCTCCATCGCTCGGAGATGTATGCGATAACATCTGATACCCCTGCCCGGGAGGCCTGTAGTCAAACAGAGAAGAAGCACTCCGCTCGTCTTGGAAGCGCATAAAAAAACGTGCGAGGAGAGGGGGGTGTCGCTCGAGCAACAACAATGAACTTAGCTACTAGGGGAGGGGTCGTGATCACTGGCACGTACGCTAGCTCGGGAGCCATCAGCCACTGACTCGCATACACTTTTACGTGCTACACTCTCATCATGAAGAGAATGTACGAAAACTGTTGCTCTCCTTGAAGTAGTCGTATTCTCGTACACCAGCATTTTGTACAGTGACGTGAGATCGGATCCAAATGAGTTAGCTGCCAGCCTCATTTCGTATAACCTTACAATTTGCTGCTATCGAAATTCATTGCTTCACATTTGTGATACTGCGACTTTTTTAGTTATGTACAGCTACCCATGCTTTTTTTTAACCTGAACGCGTGAGTGTCAACTGCAGAGTTGATAAGAGCGAAGCAGAGTGGCCAAATGAATGAAAATACGTGCATATGCTCGATGAACAGTCGTGTGCACCAGTCTGTGCTAGGCTGTTCCGGAAAACAAACATCCCCCCCCCACCCCCCCTATTTCGAGCGCCATTAGCTCTATCCTTGATTTCTTTTTCGAATGCTGCCATTACGTTATAAAAACACTTTCACCGGAATGGCGAAGCAACGAATGCCATAGCAACAAAGGCTGGCAGCGAACTCTTTTAGATCCGATATCGCCTAACTCTACAAAATGCTGGTGTAGGAAAATATAAGAGAATAAGAGATGCCCTTCTTGCAGTCTTTTCGCATTGAGAGCGCAGCATGTGGATGGGTTCACGAGCTATTCCCGCTGATGCCTGCCATGATTGCGTTCCCATAGAGATCGCGATTACACCCTTAGGATCAAAGTTCACGGCTGCTCTTGGCGCGATCACAGCGTTTACGAAACCGGAACTATAACCGTTTTGATAACACGAAAAAATTCACGAGTATGGCAAACCAACAAGCTCAAGCCAGCACCCTTCTAATAGAATGGCTTGTTATGCATTTATAATGCTACTGCATCAAACAAACGAGAACAACTAGAAAATGTTTACATTTGGTCTTGCAAAAATTCTTTTAGATGACAACTAGCGGGACATTAGCACAGCTATCCGACTGTCAGATGGCCGTCTACGCCTATAAAATGTCTTGACCAAGACGTGTATTAGCTCTTTCGACTAGCCATTAAAGACGTTTATTAGACGTGAAATAGCTTCTTTTGTGTTTCATGGGATGGCGACTGTATTTGCTGTAGGTGGGCCATGTGATGATTGTTACGGGGGAGCCTGTGTCTACTTGCATTTGGAGAGCCACGCCATCCAATTCCGTGGTGCGATAAATTGGCTGGACCATGTTCACTGATGCCATTTGCACGTTGAGCAGAAACTCTTCGTTGTCATCGTTATCTGACCACTGGCCTTCACAATGGAATAGTTTGTTTTGCCAATACTGGTGCCGCTAGCACACACAGGCTAGGTGCCCTTGCTTGTAAATGTGAACCATTTAACAGAACGAAACTTCCATTTTGCCGCTGTATGCCCACTTTGGTCACAACATGGGCATGCCTCTTCGTGCTGCCAGTCTTCCCTGCTCACCAACTCTCGTGGTGCTGAGAGCCTGGGTGGTCGGCCCTTGTGCTTTATCGCGATAGCGTGCACATTGCCCGTGTTTTGCACGCTGGCCATATGGTCCACGATTGCGATGCCATCTCTGCAATACGCACTGCCTTTTCCGCATCCTTGAGCACGAATTCTGTCTTTGACAACAGATGCCGACGAACACTCGCATCACGTATGCTGTGAACAATGAAGAGGTCCCTCAGCATCCTGTTGAGGGCGTTACCGCAATTTCCCCTACTTGTATTTTTTTCATATTTCCACTATAAATTCATTTGCTGACTATCCTGCAAGCTGATTTCGTGAGAAGAACTTGTACGATTTTGTGATTTCATTGCATGCCGGAGCAAATCACTCACCCAGGAACTTCATGGCATCCGCTTATTTCAGATCCTGTATCTTCACCAGCGTGCGGCGTGCAACCAATAAATTCACTGTCTTTGCGCTCAATGCAGTAACTAAAATTGCCCGGCGTTTCTTCTCGTCCGCGATGTCCTGAACCTCGAGGTATGCTTCCAAGCTCTTCTGGTAAGCCTCCCAGTTGTCCACCTCCTCATTAAAAGCTGGTGGCCCCGTGTGTGCAGCCATGGTCGCAGTGTGACCAATGGTTCGACCGCCTCGTTGCCATTGAAGCGTACAGCCACAACCGGACAACAGTGAACAGCGTTTATTGAGAAAGAGGCTTTTGATAACCTCTGGAGGATATGCGCATAATGTGCGCAGTGGCAATGACAAGTGCCAATGACGATGCATCAGTAAGAGACACCAGTGTGCCTAGAGTAAAATACAAGTTACTGAGAAAATGCATACAAGGTACCCTGCTTATAAGAGACAAAAATTACTGTCCTGAAGATGCTCTTTTCGTATGTTCAAGGTACAGGTGAACCCGCGTAACGTATGCTGCGAACTTGTACTTTCAACACACAAAAAGAGCAAACAATGTCTGCTACGTCTGCACTTCTGATATGTCGGGTTAGAGCACATAGCTGCAATGGGAGCAAAGGGCGGATAAAATAGCGACACTCCAATGCACATGTGTGGAAGTTACCCTATCTATCTTTCTAAGGACAGTCCTCTTTGGCCTGGAACACGCTGGACTGTGCGCGCTTGCTTGCTCCTTAATCCAGCACTCATGGCCGCTCCCGTGACCAAATCATTTCGAGATTGGCATCCTCAGTGGAGTCAACAGCTATTTGAGTGTTGCTTGTCTTTTAAGAAATTCTAGCATAGGCCTGCATTCCATACTTAGCAGGCAGGAAGTCCAATCTACAATTGCCTATTCTTGTGCAAGAGAATTATTTGACAAGCCATAACTGCAAGTGAAATCACTTTAACCAACATGTTTTTATGGATTCTGAAAGATGATGTGCAAGAAAATAAGTGGCGAAAGCTCAAGAAATATCAAAAATGTTCCGTTTTGAATAATCGTCAAAAGTGTTTCCCTTGCATGCAGTTTTTCTGAATATAGCCAATTGTATCTTTTCATTGAAAAGTGTTATTAATATAAAGCATTTTATAAGTAAGGATGCAGAAAAAGTAGAATTTTCACCACTCTGTTGTAAGCCCTCTTTCAAATAAAAGCCTGCAAAATGAACAAAAAAAACACTTCTTGGGTCGATTTTAAATTTTTTAAACAAAATTATATGCACTACTCAGGAAGCAAAAAATAATTGAACGTAAGTACAATTATGCATATATTTAGCTAAGCAAATTCGAAATATGAAGCTTTATTATATTTTGTGTAATTTATTTTGTGTAATTCAAATCAGCAGAGCAGGTAAGCTTGGCACTCCACTTTTTTGTCATTACTGATTTACTGTGCTTCGAAAAATTTTTTTCCCGGCAAAACCGATTGCGAATCTTTTTTTTCAACTTATCAAGAAACAATATACAAAACGCTAAAAGAAATTTAAGAGGTCAACCAGCTATGCTTTGTTCGATCTTACGTGGAATCACCACCCATGTATACTTGAGCACATTAACACTCTTACAAAGGTCGTTTCACTGCAGTAAAAAGGTGTTTTGCCTTCAATACACCTATCCAGTAGAAACGCACACTGTCGCAAATCCTCACATTGCAGGACACCTCATTTGGCAACTCGAGATGCTTGTGTTTGTCCTGCATGCACTTCTGATAAATTATTAGTGACAAGAGCTGTCTATAAGATGGTTTTAAAGTAAGCGTGCGTGCTCGTCCAAGTATTCAGGTGCAATCAATATTTTCTGTGGTCTGATGTAGACAGTGGGCCCCCTCATGACATCGCAGAGGCAAGTATTGTTGGCATCAGAGCAAATCCCGACCCGGAGACTATGGTTGGTCAACTCTCTCACCCTGTTGTTGCGCTGCTCTCAGGCTGTCCTTGGCTGCTTGCGCCAGGAATGCTTTTTTTTTGTTCTGAGGGGGACACGCTCAAAGAGTCCACATCGTTTCATTTTTCACCCCTTGCGGGTCTCCCTATTTCAAAACAACTCACTCAGCGTCACCGGAGCTTGAGGGCACGTAGTCACAGGCACTGTGGGACAGGCGCTAGTTTCTTGTGGTATTTAGGCAGGTGTATTGAAGTGACGCGGAATTTATCTGAATTAGCGATGCTAGCATAAACTAGACGATACATTAGAACATTTATGATTCAATTTTGGCATTACCCTATGCAAAGCTACAAACCACTGTAAAAAAGTCGCAAAAAAATTTTTCACTGTCAGGGGTCCTTTGAAGTTAAATGAATACTGATTAATACTGATTAATCCTTTTCAATTTTAAAAGCTTCTTAGGCCAGATTATATGCTCAAAGCATAGTGCATTATAAAACAATCTATTTTATAAGTAACAACTTGCATTCTACCAAAAGCAAAATACTTGTTTGCTTCCACTTCCCTTTGAACCAAAAAGAATGACATTACTCCATGCCTTGTTCCAATTCAATATACTCTGCAAGTTGGCTGAGTCGCAATAAGTATACTCATTTCTTTTCATAATATATATTAATTGATCTCAGACAAAATCACTATTCACTAGGAACCTAAACTTGACACTTTTAGTAGCCAGGTGATATTAATCAGAAACGTAGCCTTTCAAAAGTAATCCAAAACAAAAAATAGGGTCCTACCTGTATGTCCCTGGAGTCAGCCTTGACATCCTCCTCATCATAGACACGCTGCAGGAGAAGGGAAGGCAGCACGTCAACGACAGTCAGCGAGTGAGAAAAGCACCCTACTCACATTTTCCACAAACTGTAGGCTGTTCAAGTGACTGAAGTCATTGATGACGTTGTGCACCTTGACATCAGATATCTGCAATGAGCATGAATGTCACTTTACAGCTCACTAAAGGCATGCACAATCCTTCTGAATGCACACATCCTCTTTTTTTTCTTTTGTTCAGTAGACAGGCAAATATTTAGGCTGCTTTGCACAAGCCTGAAGGAAGTACAGAGCTAAGTGGTCTTTCCTCCGTAATTTTTCTTCCTCTGTTTCTTTTGATTCGTTTATTCATGCAGCAGCTCTTTTCGCTCGGTGTGTGTGGAATGTGTAACTGTGCCCGAAAACTATCATCATCACGAAAGAGTATGTGCCACAGAATATTGGCAAACACCGCTATGGTATACCCTGAGAACAAGTACACAGACTAAACAAGAAAGAAAAAAATTCTTCACAAGGCAGCATTTCAACATGCGTACCACCCATGATCACTTCGATGATCTGGACACGCTCGAAGAGGTGGGAAAAAAAAGGAAAGAAAACAGAGGACGACAGCACAAAGAATAAGGAAGAGAACAGGCACCAAGGATAAAACCGCATATCTCAAAATAAGATGTGTTGGTAGACAGAAAGGACAAGTGCAAACCGCCCGAAATTTATGTTCCATTTACTTTTATTATTTTTTATGCATTTTTGTTCTTTATATTTTCATGCTTACTCTTTCTTTGTACACCTCTTATATGTCTTCTGTGCCTGATTCTCCTGCTTTCACTGTGTTTTCCCTTTCTCTTTCTTTCTCATTAAACATAAGCCTGTGAGGCCAATTGGTTTTCCATTAAAAGCGGTACTCTCCGTGCAACGTAATAGTGCTTTATATTTTCATCGCATGTAGCAGGCACATCCCGATCTCTGTCGAAAACCTTGTCCTTGTCAAGCCTGGCACCAACGCGGTTGGAGAGCGCGTGTGCAGGCCGTCTTGTGGAGTTTCGTAGAGATTTGCCCAACATGTGAGCAAAAGCAGATTAGCGAATGTGTTTTATCCTTTCAGGTCTGACAGTAGGTACAAGCCTTGTTTGAAGATTGCATTGCACTCGCACATTAGCACACATGCTCCGGGGGAGCGTTAAATCAAGCCCATATTATTCCATGGCAATGTCCATAGCCAACCAACCAGCTCTGAGCAGATTTGATTGATATGTGGGGTTTAACGTCCCAAAACAACAATATGATTATGAGAGACGCCGTAGTGGAGGGCTCCGGAAATTTCGACCACCTGGGGTTCTTTTACGTGCACCCAAATCTGAGCACACGGGCCTACAACATTTCCGCCTCCATCAGAAATGCAGCCGCCGCAGCCGGGATACGAACCTGCGACCTGGGGGTCAGCAGCCGAGTACCTTAGCCACCAGACCACCGCGGCGGGGCAGCTCCGAGCAGGCCCACGAAGCAGCTGCCAGTGGTCCCAACATGGGAATCGCCCATACGGTGCGTCCTCCACGACCTGTCACCTCATGAGCGTCAATCACTCTCTCTTTTTATTATACTGTCTCCCCTTCTCCTGATGCTCACTTCCCATTCCCAGCCCTCTGCGATGCTATATTGTACCCCTATAAAAGGCTATGCTATGTTCTACTCACATGCTTGGATAGCGGAGTGGTTACAACCCTTGTCTTACCATCGCGAGTACACCAAGTGGGACCTTTCTCTGTGCTCATTCACTTGCCCATATGAGTTGCTGGACAAATCAACGCATGTGTTTTGAGAGCAAAGCAGAACATGAATAGCATAAAGGGAATGAAGCCCCAAGAATTGCATGCAGATGGCCTTTTTTTTTTCTTTTTATTGCAAAGGTTGCTTTTCCAAAGCGAGGAAGATTACAGACAACTGCTTAGACAAAGACATACAGTGCACCAAGCACAGCAGTGTGTTGTACGTCTTCTTGTCCCAGCAGATTTCTCAGTCAACTTGCCAAAGTTGAGTCGCTAAGTGCTTAAAACACAAAAACTCGGAGAACTCCACAATATTTGCACTTTAACTTGCCGGGTTTGGCAATTTGAACACCTCTTTCGAATTTTGTTTGTATGAATGTGCTCAGTACACATGCAATTATTAAAAAAAACTAGAAAGCGCTGGCTACATCAAAGTGCCTTCTCAATGACAAATACTACTATGCCTGTGAGCCCAACCATTCTGTATCTGTGCTGCCATAGAGCAAGGCAAATAGGGTTCACATCTCAGAGTAAAAAAAAAAAAAATAATTTCTCCACCTAAATATGATGATGATGATGATTTGTGGCGTTTAACGTTCCAAAACCACCATATGATTATGAGAGACGCCGTAGTGGAGGGCTCCGGAAATTTCGACCACCTGGGGTTCTTTAACGTGCACCCAAATCTGAGCACACGGTTCTCCACCTAAATAATGATCCAGGTACCAATTAACATAGAATACAGCACCACTTTACACTTACTTTTTGCCATGTAAAAGTTAACAGTGTCTTTGCACTTGAGATGTAACCAAGCATACCATTTGCAGCCGGTCAACCACAATTATAATTTTGGCAGTTTATAAATGTGCCAAGACATGGTGGCACATCAGCAGCACACCTGATGTAACACATGATGTATGTTTTCAACGGAAAACCTGCGACCTCTTTGTAGACGATGGTAAAGAATACCAAAGCTTACCATAGTTTCATGAACAAGTCCTTCCAGCTGTTTCTGGATTTCAGATGTTCTCGATATTATGCTCCGGGTGAAAGCTTCGAGGTATGCAAGCAGCTGAAACCAACCAGCAAAACATTCAAGTACTTGGCACTCTAAGCACAAACTTTACCTATGACAATGAACGTAATGACCGACTTGCCTTTCTCGCTTCTTCAAGTAATTTCAGTAAGTGTACATGAAAAGTACTCCAGAGTTTAAAGATCATAAAACATTTTCGCTCTACTACTGCAGCCCAAACCAGGCAAACTTCTGTTCAAACACTGAGTTTTTTTTACAAAAATATCTATCTATTGTACCAGTCATAAAACTTTTCCTGGCTACAGTTTTGTGATGGGAGGAGTGTGCGAGTGTTGTGTATGGTGTCATAGAAAAGCTGATATGGAGATAGCAGACGAGTTTGCCAGCGAGAAGCGTGGTGGAAAAACTAGCGCAAAGACAAAGATGACGAGGGACTGCGACACGAGGGGGAAAGCTGCTTCATGTGTAGAGTGTGTATGCCCTTTTAACCTTGTAACCTTTAATCTTGTAAGTATAGTACTTCTGGGTGGCATGATCTCGCAATGCCCTGGCACCCAGCACACTACAAGATGCTGTTTGGATGTGTAGACCATGCACAAGTGAGTAAAAGCAAGACAAGGACAGGGTTTGCATTTTCGAGCTTTTACCACGCTTAGTGACTCAGTGAATACCATTGCCTTTTGCAGTTTTCTTTTGTTCAATGTGTTTAACGGCCCCAAGTATCGCATACATAGTCGAGAATATGACGGAATATTGTCTGGTCAAGTAAAAGCATTGTTGAAAAACAGGTCACTGACCAATGTCAAACAAAATAGATGACCTTTCGGGATTGGATCCCTTGTTCACAATCTATGAACAAGAAATCCGTACGGATCCCAAAACATTTGTTTTGTTTGACATTGGTCAGTGACCCGTTTTTCAACAAGTATCGCATACGCTTCTGTGAAAATGCTTCTATCAGGATGCAGAACGCAGGCATCCAAAAAAGATGACCCGATCGCTGCATACGACACAGAAGTGTTGGAAATCCGTAAAGAACTCGGGACATGTGTATTTATGTTGTAGTTACAGGAAGTATGTCTGAATATGTGCAATTGGCACATCCTTCGTAACCTCTAAGAGGGACATGTCGCAATCTATCGCCTGCCACTGCCACGGTGGTGGGCATACTGCGGGAGCCATCAAACGGTGTTCAAGTGGCACACCGATTTCCTTCATTAGGCCCCTCACACGTAGTGAGTAGGACTGTCTCATAGAAGGCCATCTCTCAAACACAGCCAGGCTTGACATGACATTAATTGAGGAATGTGAAGGACGTTCCTTGTCTGCATTCACTTTAAGATAATATTTAAAAGACATGTAACATCTCTCTAGGTGAAGCGACCGTTCGTTCAATTTCACGTACAGGCTTTCCATGGGGCTAGCGTGAAAAGCACCCGCAGAGAGGCGTTCGCCTAGGTGATGAATAGGGTCAAGCATTTCAAGGGCAGTAGGTGTCGCAGAATGATATGCTATTGCCCCATAGTCTAGGCGAGTACGTATGAGGCTTTTATACAAATTCATCAGACACTTCTTGTCACTTCCCCACGTAGTGCATGACAACACTTTTAGAATGTTCATGGCTTTTATGCACTTGTTTTTTAAATACTTGATATGTGGTATGAACGCTACCTTGCATGGTGTTCAAGATTAGGCCTAAGAATGTATGTAAGCATGACGTACTAACAATTTCCTAGGAAGTTTTTAAATGCCTATAATGATGCTTTCCCACTAATTAGAAGAAGAGTAGATTGGAAGAAGTTCTGAAAGCCATGGATAACGAAACATTTCATGAAAAGATCCAAACTAAGAACGAAATGTACCATTCTTTTATTCAAAATCAGGATCCTAACCTTCCAAAAGAGTGCATATAAAAAGTATAGTGAAGAAGAGCGGCCTCAGCGGCATTGCTCTGCACCTCAAGGGCATCGTCATCAGCATGAGCTCATGTTTGCTGTTCTTGGCCGGACCCTTCTGACTGCTTCTCTTTCCGCGTTCTGCTCTGCCAATAAACCCCTCAGCAAGAGGTGGAGCCTGCTAAGTTTCGATCAACCTGGCACATCAGAATCGCATTCTACCGTCCATTATGCCCACCGACGTAAGGGCCACTCCAACTCTTCCAATGGCACCACCCACTGTCCTCTGCGCCGGTTCCTTGCATCTGCGAGATCCCTCTGTTTTCTCAGCCGCCGATGACAAGGACATTGACAATTGGATTTCCACATATGAGTGAGTGAGTGCTCACAACAAATGGGATGACGCTGCCAAGTTGGGCTACGTCTCCTTCTACCTGTCGGACATGGCAAAGCTGTGTTACATCAACCACGAAGCTGAACTTCCTACGTGGCCCATATCCAAAACCAGCCTCACACAAGTTTTCGGATGGCTCGAGGTACGAAAACACTGTGCTGAACAACACTTGTGTACTTCGTCCTAACAGCTTGGTTAGAATTTCACAAGCTATATTGAGGACATTCTGGACCATTGCAAGGGGGTAAACGGGTCGATGCCCGAAGAGAATAAGATTAAACACGACGGCGCTTTCAAATGTTGCTCTCCAAGAGTCCTTGCACTGTCGTCAAACTGATAGAGTTATGCCAGAGTTTCGACGAGCTGCACAGGCAACGTCTTTAAACCCGACGTCCCTCAGCGCCCGACAACTCTTTGTCCAACCTGTCCAGCCTTGGCATAGCAGACGACCATGCTCCTCTTTCATTCGCACTGAGGACGCTCGCCAACTCTCTTTGATGTCCTGTCTATCCGATAAACCACCCTGTTTTACCCCTACACTCCGTGACTTCATCCAGGATCAGGTCGCACAAGCTCTTCCTCCCACCAGTGAACCGCTGCCAGTCCCCATACCTCTCGCGTACACCAAGGCCATTGCTCGACCTCGACAGCCTGCGTTCCAGCCAGCGCCTATATATTCGCCGCCGCCCTTTTCGCCACCAGCCTATTCACCGCCGCCTATGCCAATGCCTCCCCGGCCTCATTTTTCTGCCCCGTGGCGCATTATTGCCATCATCACCAGGCTTCTCCCAACATTCAACAAATGCCATCTTATGACCCTCAGTTTTCCTCTCTGCCTTCCAGCCATCCTCCCTCTTACTTTCCCCTTGATCGCCTATTCGGCCCAACCCACCGCTCCCTATCTCCACGTTGTCGTTCCCCTTCCCCTCTGCGTCGACGTTCCGGACCCACCGAGCAGAAATACTATCAGCCGCAGTACCCGAGGCACGAACTGCATCCCCATTGCCATGCACAAGTCGTCGCCCCTGTCCAGCCAATGTCATTGAAGTGTCAGTCGATGGTATCGTCGTCATGGCAATTTTCGACACCAAAGCTGCTGTATCATGGTTCGCACAGGTTTGCAAAGCAAAAATTCAAAAATATTCAAGGACTTTCCAGGACCTGTTGCAAGTCACAGACACAAAGTGGCGTGCTAAGGTGAAACTTTTCACTGTAAAATTTTCAAAAATGACCAATTTATTACACTTACAATAAATATATGGATATCACAATTATAACGAAAAAATCTAGTCTTAACTTTTCACACCATCTCACTCTCTCCATACAGAGAGGGCACAATGCCGCATCAGAAAGTTACACGCTGACTGGCTTCAACGCGTATGTACAGTCAGTCCTTAAAGGGTTGTGACTTGCACGCTCTTTGCTGCAAGCTTTATTATAGCTCCAACAAGCATGATACATTCACCGATTTAATTCTCGCTATATAATTGATCACTTCATTAATATGGACAATTTTCAGTTCCTGAAGGCCCCGAGTCGGGCTGGTACGTAGCAGTGTAGCTGACAGTCACATGATCACAAAGCTTTGCACACGTCATGCCGAGTATCGTCTGCTCACGCACAAATGTGCCACACAAGCACCTGCGAAACAATCATGCCGCTAGCTGCAGCAGCCCCGATGCTTTGCCGGTACGTATATGTGGCGCAAGTCCGGAGGTCACTCACCTCACTACAGGTGTGGTGTGACGTCACTGCAACTTTCGTTGCCCCTCCTATAGACAAATTCTACGGGACATACGTCACAAAAATGTGGTGGCGCTGTCGTCAGGCGTTTGGTTTCGCTTGGTAGGCAAAAGACGCCCTGCCTAACGCAGTTCCCGCTGAGTTTTCGATGGTGCATGTGGTGTTCTCAGTCAAGCAACGAGAAAAAAAAACGGTACGGTATACCGACGAGCTGCGTCGCGGTTGGATGTGCTGAAAGGCATAAGAACGGCAGCATAAGTTTTTATCGGTTTCCACTTGACAAGGACCGTCGCAAGGAATGGGCTGCAGCCGTAGTGAACTGGTCCTCGACACGGGCTTATCAGTTGCGTGCGCTACTGATCAGCAGCACTAACCCCCGTATTCAGAAACTCTACTTGACTTGAACTTTAAACCGCCTTCAATGCAGCGCGTTCGCAATGCGTCTGTGCATTTGTGCTGCCTTGGCACGGCCTAAAGACAGAGCGTTCAAAACACATTTGTGCTGCATTGAAGCCTGTGGCAAGTCAAGATCAAGTCAAGCAGCGTTTCTGAATATAGGGGTAAGGCTCCTGAAGTAATCACTGGCAGGAAACACAGAATGTGAGGGTGAGTCGCGTCTCTCAACAACGTTTTTTTTGTTGGTTGGTGCAGATCGCAACCCTCAGTGCTTTTGGCGCGGGGCATGGAGTCGGGCTTTCCCACCACAAATTGTGAGTGAATAATGCCGACATCGTCTACTTGTGTTTACAGACATGGAATGAGTCTATAGAACTACATCAGAGTTGGACACGCTCACGATGGGCGTCAATCAGGAGAATGAGCATTTAGGTACACTTGGGAAGTGACCTTTCCGACCATTCGTGTGGAGTGTCTTTGCATACAAAGCAAACCCACAGAATGCTTGATATAGCCTGGAATTCGGATGGCATCACCCCATTAAGAGCAATGGCTTGTGCAGTTGACACTTGCAGCATGCTGCTGGAACACCAAGTGGTAATAACTGT